CTTCTTCTTCTTCTTCTTCTTCTTCTTCTTCTTCTTCTTCTTCTTCTGGCTTTTTTTCTTATATTATTTTTTTCTCAATTACATGTAAAAAAATTAAAATTCTTTTTTTTTAATTTTGACTTCCAAATTTGCTCTCTCCCTTCGTCCCTCCCCATCCCCCATCCTGGAGAAGGCAAACAAATTGATCTAGATTATACCTGTGCAGTCATGCAAAACATATTTCCATATTAACTATATTGCAAGAGAAAACACAGACCCCCTCCACCCCTCAAAAACAAGAACAATAAAGTAAAAAAAAATTCTGGTCTATATTCAAACTCCAGCACTTCTTTCTCTGGAGGTAGATAGTATTATTTTATCATTAAAATTTTGAAATTGTCTAGGATCATTGTATTGCTGAGAACAGCTAAGTCATTCACAGTTGATCATGACACAATATTGCTGTAATTGTGTACAATGTTTTCCTGGTTCTGGTCACTTCACTTTGCATCAGTTCATATAAGTCTTCCCAGGTTTTTCTGAGAACATCCAGCTCATCATTTCTTAAAACACAATAGTATTCCATCACAATCATAATACCATAACTTGTGCAGCCATTCCTCAGCTGATGGACATCCCCTAAATTTCTAATTCTTTGTCATCACAAAAAGAGCTGCTATAAATAATTTTTGTAAAATAGTTCCTTTTCCTTTTTCTTCTTTGATCTCTTTGAGATACACACATAGTAGCAATATTGTTTGGTCAGAGTTTTATAACCCTATAGGCAAAGTTTCAAATCACTTTCCAGAATAGTTGGATCAGTTCACAACTCCACAAACAATTCATTAGTGTTCCAATTTTCCCACATCCACTCCAATATTTGTCATTTTCCTTTTCTGTCATATTAGCCAATCTGATAGGAGTGAGGTTGTACTTTATAGTTGTGTTAATTTGCGTTTCTCTAATCAATAGTGATTTAGACCATTTTTTCGTATAACTATAGATAACTTTGATTTCTTTGTCTGAAAACTGTCTGTTCATATCCTTTAACCATTTTTTCAATTGGGGAATGACTCATATTCTTATAGCTTCAACTCTATTCTCTATACATTTGAGAAATGAGGCTTTTATTGGAGAAATTTCCAGCCTTCTATTCACTGAACCACCAGCTGCCTATATGCCAGGTATTGTGTAAGTCTATTCCCTCCTCTACGTAATTTTGTTCAGCTTTTTAACTTGTGTTCAACTCTCCGTGATCCAATTTTGGGATTTTTGCAGCAAAGATACTGGAGTGGGTTGCCATTTCCTTCTCCAGCTCATTTTATAGATGAGGAAATTAAGGCAAACAAGGTTAAGTGACTTGCCCAGGGTAACACAGCTAGTAAGTGGCTGAGGCCAGATTTGAACTCAGGAAAATGAGTCTTCCAGACTCTAGACCTGGCACTCTATCCACTGTGTCATCCAGCTGCCCCCCTTCACATAATAGCCCTTCAAATTTTTGAATAGATCTATCATGTACCCCACTAAGTCTTTTTCTCTTCCAGCCTAAACAACATGAAGTCTGTCAACGTGGCCAGGCATGTTCTCCAGTCTGCTCACTCTTCTTGCCTTCCTCTCCAGGATGCTCTTATATTTGCTAACAAGCAGAATCTGGAAATGAAAACAAATGTGGTCTCAAAAGGGCTGAGTATAGTGCAACCACCTGCTGAGATCCTATAAAAAAAAGTAATGCTAACATAAATCTCCTCTTCTTGCCTTTCTCTCTCCCTATCAGAACAACAACTTCCCATTTCCTTCAGTACCTGTATCATTTCCTGGTACCTTTCATTTTTCAGGTCACAAAATGATGATTTACTTGCTGCCATGTGGCTAATGTTCTTCTAGTCATCTAAAATAATGACAGTAAATCCACATTAATATAATCCCACAACAACTGTCTAAGGTAGACAGTATGGAGTATTATAAGTCCCATTTTGCAGATCAGTTAACTGAGGTTCAGAGAGATTAAACCATTTGGCAAAGGCCACCCAATTTGTAAGTGGCCAAGCTGGGATTTGAATCCAGTTCTGCTGACTGCAAGTCCAAGTTTCTTTGCTTCTCTCCAAACACCTAGCTTATTTTCAAGAAGTAGCCTAAACCCTGAAAATAGTGGGATAGTTCTAGTAATTCTTTTATAGGATAACACTTAGATGTCACTAAAAAGCTCAAATGATGAACTATTTTTAAAAAAATTATTCAGTACTTTATTTTTCCTCAGTTACATGTAAAAATTTTTTTTAATTTTTTTTTTTTTTTTAGTGAGACAATTGGGGTTAAGTGACTTGTCCAGAGTCACACAGCTAGTGAGTGTTATGTGTCTGAGGCTGGATTTGAACTCAGATCCTCCTGACTCCAGGGCTGGTGCTCTATCCACTGTGCCACCTAGCTGCCCCCAAAATAATTTTTAACATTCATTTTTAAATTTTGAGTTCCAAATTCTCTCCCTTCCTTCCTCCCCCCCCCCAGTCATTAGAAAGGCAAACAATTCAATATGGGCTATACATGTGTAATCATGCAAAACATTTCCAGGTTAGTCATGTTGTGAAAGAAAGCATAGACCAAAAAAAAAAAAAACCCTCAAGAAAAATAAAGTTAAAAAAAAGGATATTTCAATCTGTGTTCAGACACCATCAGTTGTTTCTCTGGGGAGGGATAGCATTTTTCATCATAAGTCCTTCAGAGTTGTCTTGGATCATTGCTTTGCTCAGAATAGCTAAGTCATTTGTAGCTGATTATCTTACAATATTGCTGTTACTTGGTACACAGTACATTTCACTTTGCATCAGCTCATGTAAGTCTTTCCAGGTTTTCCTGCTCATCCAAATGACGAAGTATGAAAACCCATTGACAGATACTAAGGTGAAGATTCTCTGCTACCTCAAAACTTGACTTACTGGGGATCCAAGAATTTTTATGACTCTTTTTCCCCCTCTGACCTCCCCCTACTCACAATTCCTTGGCCATCCTATCCAAATCTATTTGGTGCTGGAAGATCTCTGAATAATGTGGATTCTCATAAAACAGCTCTAGATAATTAGCAGCCAGGTTAATAGGTTCAGCAGAAAGCCCAAGTAGACACAACCAACACTTCTGCAGATCAGGAGGGAGGATTTAGGTCAATGCTGAGAGCTTACATCATGGAGGCTCTCAGCACTGAGCAGCTTTGCATCACTGATGTGCCAACCAAGCTCTGCCTGGGCTGTGCTCCCTAGATGCAGAGGATGCTAGGCCCTGTGATGGAGAATGCAGGTCCTTTTATCAGCACTTAAGAGGGGAAAAATCATAATGCAAGTTAAAGATAAACAGAAACTGCAGAAAAGGGGAAGTGACAGGTACCAAGACAATTTCATTTTTTTTTCCCCAGGGCTCTGTGATTTTGAAAGACACAGTGTTTAAGAATGAAATCAACTGTGCAAGAGTTTGCAACTCAGGGAAACCTGGGAACTCTCATTATAGATATACTAGGTGTCTAGGTTTTCCCTAATTTGAGCTCTTTTGCAGAGCTGACAGTTTTCTAATATACATAAAATCAGTCTTATCTAGTGTAAGGTGGCCTGGACTGGTATCAGGAAACCTGGCTTCTTCCCTGGGTTCTGCCACTTAATTGCTGTGTGACAATGGGCAATTTTATTCAACTCACTGTTCTCCTTATATGCAAAATGAGGGAAAATGACCACTAGTCTGGAAAATTCTGTTGTCCAAATCAATAATAAGTAAGCAGAACCTAAAGGATTAGGATTTCCCTGTTGCTCCCAGGAAGAAAGAAAATATCAAGAGGACTTTGCCAACTTCTTAGAAGGTTTTATATGTCATACCTAGCATCTATGTTTTGAATGTTATTTTTAATTTACTTTGCTTTTTGGAGGTACAGGCTGTGAAAGAGGGTTTGTACTGTGGAAGGGTGTGTCCTATTGATGTAGGAATCTGATCATATTAAAGTAATCACCCCCTCCTGAAGCTTCTACCTCCAAAGCTTTTAAGAATATCTAATGGATATATTCTGAACAATTGAAAAGTAACATGTGCATGCTTCAAGGTTTGCTAGTTCGGGAGTACAGAATACTGCTAAAGACATTCTTGGGTATCACCAACAATCTGAAGATATTTCTGAGAGATAATTTGCATTTGGATTGTAACTTTTCTATTTAGGAACCACAGCTCTGAAAGGGTTAACTAACCTCTGCTATAGTCTTAGTCTTTGCTGCTATGCCGGGTGTAGGCACTGCAGGGGTTAAAGTGGGAGCTCTCTCTGCTGCTCACCGTCCTTCCTGGAGATTAATGTGCTAAGTCTCAGCTGTTCAGTGTGTCTGTATCGGAGGGAAAGTGTTGGTCAGTGATGGAGTTGCTGTCATGACAACCCTGGAAGTCTGTGCGTGTGCGAGTCGGAGATGTTCCTGGGAGAAAGGAGGTGCTGAAACTGGGGGAAGCAGCTGAGTTTGGTCTTGGCTCCGGAGAGGCTCTCCTTTCGGCCGGTTGCATCTTCTGCATTTTGCCCTGCCTAAACCCAGGGAGGGAGATAGAGGGGGCACCGCGGCTTCGTGTGCCCCCGGCGTTCGCTTCTTCTTTCTACCTTCTCTGCTGGTGCCGCGTCTCTGTTGGAGGGTTTGGATGTAACGGGGCGACTGAAGTGTGTGCATTTTGGATTCAAGGAAGTTGAACGGAGGGATCTGCTGCAGGATTCCTGGGGTTTGGACGTGCCGTGCCGAAGCTGCGTGAATGGTGTATTGCCCTTCGTATCACGCTCCCCCTGCTGCAGCAACTACAGCTTTATATATATATATATCTACTTTGTATCTCTACTATTGTTACAGCTGTCCCCTTCCTCTCCTGGTGGTGACCTTTTCTCCGAAACTTGATAGAAAGTGTCGGGATCGTTCTTTTTGTCCCTTCACCATCTGAGGAAATACCGATCTGCTCTTGGGTGGCTGAATGAAATCGTTTTCCCCATCCCCGGTACCAAAGTGCTTAGTTCTTACCAAAGTGCCATGTCTGAACTGTTAATTGGAAGAATCCTCTCCTGAAAACGTGTCCACACCTTTTGCACCTGCCTTCCTCCTTTCTTTTTTTCTGCCGGCTCCTCCCTTGCTGGAGGAACACCAAGGGAGCTCTCTTCAGATGTTGTTGTCCGGGAATTTGGTTCTCTGATGCTGGAAAGCTGAGACGGGATTTGGGGGAGGATTATTAGACTTGCAGGAGCTCCCCTCCCCGCCCCAAACACACACAGTGCTCCTGGTTCGCTCCGTCCCCTTCCTCTCCCCCCGCCCCGCTTCCTGTGCCCGGCTGGGGGGCGCCTGCGGTGCCGCTGCTCCAGTTGAGGGAAGTTGTGGCTGTCGAGGATGGGGGTCGGTGGGTACTTGCTGCTGCCCTGGAGGTTCCTCGTGGTCCTGTCTCTCAGGCTGCTGTTCCTTCTGCCCACAGGAGTGCCAGTGCGCAGCGGAGATGCCACCTTCCCCAAAGCTATGGACAACGTGACGGTCAGGCAAGGAGAGAGCGCCACTCTCAGGTAGGGAGCAGCTCTTCGCTTCTTTGTGGTGGGGGAAAGTGGGTCTTCTCAGTTGTGATGATTTCTGGGGTGTGTATGTGTGTGTGTGTGTGTGTGTGTGTGTGTGTGTGTGTGTGTGTGTGTGTGAGAGAGAGAGAGAGAGAGAGAGAGAGAGAGAGAGAGAGAGAGAGAGAGAGAGCAGTGAATGGGGTTGCAGGTGTGTGTGAAATTGGGTACCTACGTCAAGAGGTGCCATGGAATTTTGACAAGAAATGTCACTTGTTCTCTGTACCTGCTCGAGAGCAAATTACGAGAAGCTGAAGAAACAGTCGTGGGAAGGGAGATAGGTGTACTATAGGGATTCTGTCTGGGTTTGTACTACTGATAGCAGCTAGCTCAGATGTACTGGGAATCTGCAGTTTCCATGAATCTAGTCTTCTATGGCTGGTTGGCTGTGAGGGACATCTGTAACCACGGATCAGCTATTAGAAAAAGAAGTGGATAAATTCTCTTTCAACCCTGGCATTAACATTTAAGTGCTGGGGAGCCTGGTGGCAATGGTTGTAGGTGCTTGGTTAAGCCTGGGAGTGAAAAGCCTCTTCTCTGAAGTTAATAAGGCCCACCCAGTGAAGAGGTCTGCTTTGGTCTGGATGCTGTCACTCTGCTCATGCCTTGCGGAATTGCCAAAGTGGGATTCTGCACTCCCTGGCAGGGACATTGCTGGGCCCCAGACCCCTCTGCTGCTTTTCAGTGAGTTTCATGCCTTGATACTGTTCTCTGTTGGGAAGAGAAGGAATGTCTCCTCCCATCTGGAAGTGGTTTATTGATGCTGGAACCATGGTGAGGAGTCAGTATTGTTCATGTGAAATATATGCCCTGGTCAAACATTTTCTCTTCATCAGCCACCAAGATAAAACCCAAAGTTCCATAAAAGTCCATTATTATTAATTATTATTTATATTACTATTGTTATCATTGTATTATCATTATTGTTATTGATTATGAAGATTAAAAAATGAGATTTCAACCTTATAGTGGGAGCAGGGGTTGACTTTAAAGTTAAAGGATACACTAGTGGGAAGAAATCAGGATTATCTGATATGTTTGTTATGGTGTAACATGACCAGCTTTTCTCCATGAGTATTGTGGCTTTCCAATGACTTTCCAGTTTCAAATGTCCATACACACCCCTAACCCCAAAAAGAGTTATGTAGAATTTATTGTTGTGAAGAAAAGTCAAACCACTTTACTCCATGGCACTAGATACCAAAATAAATGAGTTCCAAGTCAACAACAAACAATATTATGGGCTCTCTCCAGACTCCTTTTTATTTTCTCTCCATTTAGTTTTCCAAGCTGATTAGTGAGGCTGAAAAAAAATAGCATCTCTCTCTCTCTCTCTCTCTCTGTCTCTCTCTCCTGGAAAATGGCTTTTTCCTTCTGCTTTGGTAGGACCCCCTGATGGGGTCAAGGTCAATCCATAGACGGGTACACTATATGGATTACTCTAGTATCAAAAGGACTGCTAGGCTCACTGGATCAATTGTTCTGCTCACTAACATAAGACCAGGCCATCACACCTGAGGGAAATAGTATGGTTTAAAAAAACTATGCATGAAGATAAAAAAACATCCCATAATGCATTGTTATGAGGGGTCAGCTCTTATGTCCCCAACACATTTCTAGTTGTCCAGTGGTTCCTTTAATCATTAAATGATTTCTCTCTTTCAGGTTTTACATTTAAGAGCTGTGTCATGTAGATATTAAGCATCTGGTTCTTCCCACACCAGAAGTTGTCCTATTATATAGAATCCTTCTGCTTGTGTTGGCAAGTGGACTTCAGCAGAATTCTGATAATGTAATAAATTCAAAAGTCTTAAGTAGAAAACACAATGAATGTCAAGCACCAAATTTTGTAAGAGATGTGATATATTTAACTCATTAGTTCTATTTATCTACCTTTCTAATGCAATTCTAGGTTCAGAAAAGGGGAATTTTCACATGGAGAGAAAATGAAGAAGAAAGAAAGAGGAGAGGGAGAGAGAGAGAGAGAGAGAGAGAGAGAGAGAGAGAGAGAGAGAGAG